GTTTGCGCCTTAGAGCTCACCATGCAGGAGCGCCTTAGGGCAATTATAGGTCCTTTTCGATCAATCTGCAACCTTCTCGACACAGATGACGCTTCCTAGCCCATTCAACACTTCGACCCGCATCAATTCACGCTGGTAGAACATGTATATATTCTTCAGCATTTAATTAAACATATGGTAAACAAAGTTGAATACTAGAATTTTTTCCCACGCGTGGCCTTCTGGGTTCATCAATAGAAAATATTGCCTTACACAGCGTTATTCTCATCTTGATCCCGTACTACTGTAGTCTTCCGAGCTGTTACCAGTCAGCGAATTTAATTGCGATTTGCCGCCAGCGAAGAGGGATGGCCGATCCTTCTAGTAATAGCGGCACCTCATCTCAGCACAAGCAGCAGTGGCGGCGGCAGAGATCGGCCTCCAGCAGGAACTGCCTGCCCATCTGTCTATCTGCCTGTCGTCGTTCAGTCTTCGAACGACTGCTGCAACTGTAGGCGGTTGAGGCGGGGGGAGCGGCGGAGGGCCCTTCGCAGGCTTTAGGGCTCAGAACTTAGGCGTGGAACTGGTTCGGCAGTCGGGCAAGCAGGAAGCCAGTCAGCCAACGAACGCGGCCACGGTGGATAGAAGCTTTGACGTTGCCGAGGATCGGTGGAGAAACCAGCGGCGGGGTGAAGGAACGAACAAGGGCAGTGGTGATAGCACTGTTCGCACGGCCCACGCCTCTCTCAGTGGTTGAGTGATCGATTTTGTCGGCTGCGTCCATCGCCGTCGCTTGTGCTGCTGCCGTAGAACAAATGTACACAAGGTGACCTCTTTCTCTCTTCTGCCCTGGGTTCATGGCAGACCCTACCGGCAGAACGCTGGGGGCTTTCAGATGTGCGGCCATTACCACCATCACCGCCTTTTCCGTCTTTTTCCAGCAGCAGCCGCAGCAGTAGCAAGCACAAGCAGACTAGCTGGCTGGTTTTGCTGGTACTGTGGTACTGAAATAGTAGAAGTGATGGTAGCGCCAGTCGCGGTTGTTCTTACGACGGTAGTGAGCGACTTGAAAAACAGCGTGGCAAGAGCAGTGAAACTCCGGCCGGGCTGGATCACATTAGGCTGTCGATGCCTTCGGGAGGGGGATATAACGTCTGGGTTTCAGGCTTCGCGCTTCTGCCAGGTTTAGAGCGCCGCACAGCGTAGGGCGACGCAAAAGAGGACGACGAGTACAGGAACGTTTTCCCTGCTACTGCGGCTGGTGGTGGATTAAAATGGAACGTATTCCGCGGCCGCCGACTTGGTCGCAGCGGCAGTGGTGGCGAGCTATGCGAACAGCGTAGCCGCCTGGGAAATGGGTCAGTGTTAGAGGACAAGAAATTGAGACCAAGAGAAAAAGTAAAAGCGACTGAGAAATAGCGAGAGGGGAAAGAGAAGGAAAGGGATGAGGTGGGGAGGGCAGGGGAGACATCGAACCAAAACGATGGAGAGAAACAGAGGCAAAAGCGCACCGCTGATGGGAGTCAGGGGCCACCGCGCGCGAAATTGAATTAAAGCATTGATTGAGCCTGCTGCTGTTGCTGCTGCTGGTCCGATGGATTTTGCCTTGCTTTGCCTGCGGATAGCTCTGCAACGCTGTTCCATTGACGTTTCTGCTCTTTTCTCTTCTTTAGCAGCTCTGCAAGCTTATCCGCTGGCCCACAATCGCTAGCCAGCCAGGTACCCTGTCTAGATTGCACCCACCTCGTACAGGAGAACATTTTCCTTTGTTGCCACTTTTTCTTTCTTTTACTGGAACACAGACAGACACGGGCGGGTAGGGGTCAGTCAGACAAACACAGACAGATCAGCAGGGCCTTGCCGATAGTTTGGCTCAGGGCTGTTACAGCTGCAAGCTTGCTTCGACTCTGCAGGAACACTCGACAGATATCTGCTTTTGCTCTTTTACCTCGTATTCTCTCACAATGATTGACTGAACCGATTAGCCAGCAAGGTCGAAGGTTTAAGTTTGAACAACTCTTGTGCTTCGTTGCTCATGCGCTAAAGATTGTTATCAAGTAAGTTAATCAAATGACCATATGTACAATAGTAGACAGCTATGCGGCCTTCACGCGAACCGGCAATGGTATTATAATAGCATTCAGTAGTCACATATAGCGAAGAAAACAGTGCAACATTTCAAGTACTTAAGAAAAGGCACAGGGGCTGCTATAAGTGCATAAGGACAAGTAATGTTTGATCATTTTAAAACATCGGCCTATGCATTAACCAGAGGCAATGCAGTAGTATAAGATATGATTTATAGCTGAAGCGGTCAGCCCTATTCATCGACGTACTAACGATAGCTTGCGATCGTGCTGCAGATATCAGTTGAATACTACAACTTTATACCTTTTTACGTGACCGTCTCCTATTAGGCGAATATCATCGCGTTTCGGTGCAACAGTAATTTTTGTACAGGTTCAAGAAAGCAAATTGGGCAGAACTGGTGTTTGTTTCGGTTGTGGCTGCGCAGAGGCCAGAAAAAAGCCGAGGGCAAGTCTGCTAGCGTCAGCCAGTTAATTTAAATTGTTGTAAACGCAAAGAAAATGATCGGGCCTTGCTAGGGAGGCAGGGCTGTATCTGGTCAGGAGCTTGTTGCTTTGTGTAACTAAGATCTTTAAAATGAAACCCCTTTAATAAAGACTGTCATGCAGATGCTGAAACCCTTTCCGCCGATTTCACGCGCTATTGTGCACTCGGATGTCGACCAATCGCTGACATCAGACGGCCATCAGGCTGTGGACTTTGTGCTAGCTAAAGTGGCCATTCTTGTAGGAAAGATGACAGTAACTGGTCGGCAGTTCCTTGCGCCCCACGAGGGTGTCTGGGTGCGATGTAATGCTCTTCCGTCGGTCGACTTCATCTCCACCCCCCACTCTCACCCCCCATTTTCAAGGCATTGCGACGCATAGTTTCTATCGTGGTAGCAGTATCAGGCAGCGCTTTTGATGCCTAACAACAAGCGGTAGTGAACTGCCTCGCCTGGTCCATTGTCGTCAATCAAATCTAATCGTCGAAGTCATCACCACTACCTAGTGGATATGTATAAGGTAGAAATGCAGCTTCTACATTCTATTTCTGCTATATGGTTCTATAGCTAATTATTTATCATACTATCGCGTTACTTCCGCCGTGTTACTTTTCGTAAATTTGAGAGGACGACATCTAATCTCGAGACCAATGCCCAACTTGTCCGTCTATAGCTAGCGGTTCTTTGATGATACTGTATTGTCCCTGTATTTAAGTGAAAACTGTTCTTGTTGTACCGGCGAAAGGGAGCGGCTAAGAGCAGGGGCAATGTTCACCACTCACATACACTGTGATGGTGGTGATTTCGCCTTTCCTGAACCTGCGCTGGTAACAGCAGTAGCAGAACACTTGTCCGCTGCGCCACTGCTACTGCTTATGAGAAAAGCAAAAAACAAGTTATTTAATAAGTTCCTCTGTAGCACTCCTCGATCCGGTGGCTATGCCAGCTTTACGTGTCCAACTCTCCCAACTAAAGCATCTCTGTTACCTCACCTTTTTTCTCTCATTCAGTTTTCAACCTCCGACTGTTCTTCTTCCTCGGCTGTATTTCCCCATAGCAGCGTTCTCATGGCTTCTACGTAACCAGCAAGGAAGTACTACTTGCAACACCTTGCAAACACATACAGCTTCACATACAAACCCGTGTACTTTGCATTGCATGCAGACACAAAGCTAGGCAGAAAGGCAGCGCATCATCGCTATGATGAAAAGCGGCGTTACAGCGTACAACGTTGCTGTTAACTCACCGCTGCTGCCGTCGGTCTGGCGGTATCGACACCCCGAACCCCGTGGACTACGCAGTTACCTCTGGGGTACGTTGGAAGGTGGGCCCTTGACTTAGGAGTTGTTTCGTGTGCTGCTAGAGATGAAAGGGGAGCACCATCTTTATATGCACTTGGTGTGGTTGACTGAACTTCCCGACGCAGGATTTCTCTGAAGCACCACTCAGCTTGGCTACTCAGAGTCATGGACCTAGTGCCCAGCTCAAAATACCTTTCTCCACTAAACACCGTTGGTGCTGGAACCCTGATGCTGATATCTCCTGCCGCTTTCCCCCACTATTGCTTAGTGTGATATCAAAACACGGATGTTCGATTATGTCTTAAGATTCACGTAACTCAATATTTTATAATATGAATATGCTCGAATGATCTGAGGGAAAAACGTTGTTGAAACCACAAAGGTTTGATTTTCCTTGATTATCTTTGATATTACCTGATACTAACCAAAATTGTTGTTTAAGCTGAGTCGGTTCTTGATTTTTCTGCTCACAATGCATGTATGTAAACGCGCACGGTCCTATCGGCCGACCAAAATTGCTTTCCACACATTTCTATCTAATTAGTAAGATGCGTAAAATGTCTACATAGGCGATATAAACGGCTTCTAGCTTAATAACGGCCATGCTGGATTACGTAACTACAAATTGGTTGACGATGTCTTCTCAAGGCTCGCACAGCTGATGCCTGCTGTGCGAGACTTGAGAAGTGTGGGACTCAAATATTCATCCTCACGCGTCATCGTTGCCTGCGTCATCACGGACGCAAGCACATTCGTTATGTGGGAGCGCCTCTTCGCACCCTCGTCCGTACGGCCCTAATGTTGGATGACTATTTGCGGATGACTGTGACGCACGACAGATTGTCTTTCATAGTACATTTCTGAAATTTTTTGTAGCTACCGTATTTAGTATATTCTAGCGGGTCAGGCAGGATTAAAACTAAAATAATGAATTTGGGGTTCGTAACTGCGTCAACATTGCTTTAACTGGTTGGTTGGTTGGTTGGATACGAGCACGAAACAAACACGTTTATTTAAAGATTAAACCTAAGATTCATATGTTGTTAAGTTCTGAAGTAACTATTTAGATAAACTATAAAAGTCTTTAAGAGTCGTTAGAAGCTAACAACGAAAAAAGAGGGACGTGGGCTAAATCATACAAAGTTTTTCCCGTTTCACAATTACTGTGTTGGGAAGAAAGAACAAAATTAGCTGGCTGACGCAGTGACACTCACCCAATGAGATCGTTACCTGAGATCCGTTCATCTGAAAGGTTTGGAAATGTTGTTCTGTGAAGTTCCGTTCAATCACTATCGTCCGGCTCAATGACGTTGCTTCACTTGTCGTTAAAATTATTTTTTTCTCCATCCTTGTTATATGCATGGTCTTACTACACAATGCAGATTTCTCCGAGCTGGATTTCGCAGACGACTCTGTTGCGGAGCCTGTTGCTAGGCCTTTCTAATAAGTCTAGGCTAGTGTTAATGATAGCCTTTTTATTCATTCTGTAGTAATTCGAGGACTACAAAAGACCTTTCAAGGGAAAATAGGATCAGAAAGACTTACCTTATTTGTCGCAGTTATGTCTCGGGACGCAATAAACAATCGTTATTGCTAGGCTAGTGTCTTTGAAATATGGTAGACGCGTTACCTCACACTGCTATAGTTGCGAATTAGATCCTGCAACAAATGACATTTATTACCAGCAGAACCGTACAGAGTTGCTGTGTCTTGACAATTTCACGGAGCTTACTTTATTCTTTATCTAGCACGTCTCACGTGCACCATAGCGTTGGCAGGAGCTGAACGAAAATAATGTTTACGTCCATTTTTCATATTCCGTCAGAACCTCATGCACGCGTGCCTATATGTCGATCGTATTCACTGATTAACATTTCAACTGCTGTTGAACTTCCGCCTTAATAAAGTCGGCTCTCTACTGCTACCTTAACCATGAGCAGACCACTTCGAGCAAAGGTACCGCTAAATTAGCTGCCTGCTCTTGCGGGCAGTCGGCTGTCGTCAACAAAACGAAACGAAAGCATCGGGACGAGAAACGATTCGTTCAAATAAAGCTTCGGCGGTAAAGATGGAGCGCACTGATACTAGATTGACCCGGGATCAACAGCAACTTGTGTCGTCGACTTTCCCTTTTTCGTAGAGTTAAGGCTCCCTCTTTCTTTTCCTTTGTCGTCTCTGTATACACTTGGTAAATGACAGTCGATGCCCAACCCGCTACTATGGCCTAGGCTTATACCGCAAATCAGCTTCGTTTGCTGTAGAGTGAAGACTGCGGGATATATTTGGTAATCCTTCTTTCTGTCTCTATACATCAGGTGTATAGAATGCCTACTATACGATAGCTGAGTGGATCCGTATAATGTGACATAATTTCTGTTAGTCTATCTGAATCCGTTAGCCATCATGTTTGCGCAAAGCTTTCAGGTTGTACACTACATTTAATGGTTGAAATTTGTTTTAGGTAAAAGAGCTCACCACAGACATCCACGTTCGGCCTAGTGAAGGGGGTTCGTGTTAAGGACATCGAAAACGGGGCGTGGCCTAGCCTTTTGTCGCTATCCAGTCCTCGGCAAAGTTCACAGCCAATTCGAGCTCAATTTTCTGATGAGTCAACAACAAGTCTCAATTAAGTTGCCGATCGCGTAGTCAGTGCTCGCTGCGATCTCGCATGCTTTCCTCAGATTCAACATCTCTCCCTCGCCTATTTCCCTCCCTTTCTTCCTGTATTCCCCTATACCCCAACACCCACCCGCCCGTTGCTCGTTGTCAGGCAACTACTCCCTTGCGACTGCTCCCAGAGTCAGCCCAAAGCCACTACCACAGCGCAGGGTGAACAGGGGGGTGAAAGGACACAGAAATACGCTCTAGCAAATAGGGATGCTTGCGAGAGGCGGCAGAGCCGGTGGACCCATTGGATCGAGCAGCGGACCAAGCGGGCGACCACGGTCGAGCTCCGTTGAGCCGGTGAAGTGTGGCCGCTGCTGCAGCCCAGGGAATGTCGTCAGCAGCCGGGTTGGGGTGCTCTCGGTTAGCCTAGACGACTGCCCGACTGCCTGGATGGGGACTGGGTGCGACAAATCTCGGAATTTACATCTGAGAGCGCGCAGAGAAAGAAAGTAAGCTTGAAGCCTTTCTGCATGCCTCTATGGGGTTACTGGTAGTGCCCTTTGGAACGTTGTAGGTCAAACTGTTTGTGGAACCCAAACTGTTCAGCAGGCGGCAGAAGATCGGCGCGAGTGGTACACTTTTAGTCTAGCGGAGGTTATGAACAGTGCTATTGCCAGAGCCCCCAGCCGGCCCACTGCCCCGCGTGGTTTAAAACATGCAGATTTTTAGGATGAATATCATGGCATTAAATGTGTTTTCGAAAAAATTTGCTAGCAAAGTCCATCCTCTTTACAGAAGCTGTTGAAACGAACTCGATAATTACTTATCCTCATAATAAAGGCTTGTCATTTAACCATGGTATAGTCATAATTGGTATATATATATATAGTATAGTTTAAAATTTGCATTAGTTGCTTTGGAGGTCATGGTCCAATCGCGGCAGTATAGCGTTGCGATGTGGACACAGCTCATGAATCAGTTACAGCATAAAATTGATTAATTTTCCTCTGGGCATGGCATCACCTATTAGGTAGAATCTATGTCTGATTTTTAGACATTTTTTTGCGGATCCAGCTACCACTTTGTATAAGTGCAACCTTGTACCTTCATAGATTATCGCTCTAATTCCATTGCCTCCTGATATGTTTTTCCTTTAGTAAACTATGGCTGAAATTAATTGCTGTAAAGTCTGTCATTGAAGTATTTTTTTGTCAGGAAATTTTTGACCCTAGCTAAAACTGTCCCTGGACAATATGTGTTACTTATATTTCATTCATCATGCCTTACTAGTCTCTTTAGTTCTGTTTCGTTTACCTCGTCTCTATATCTTTATATTTATCCAGTTGTTTTGCCATTACTGTGCAGGTTCGCTTTGTCACGTGTTCACGTGTGATTTACCAAAAAGGCCAAACAGACAACCTAGACAAATGCAGACGAGCACATATGCCCATCGTAATACGCAAAAGTTACCATCCTCTCTCGTGATGTGTTTAGGTTCATGAAGACATATATATCGCTGTTGTATGTATCATACAGGCATGCATTGGCAGCACCGCTATAGCACGGCTTGTGGTTGGGTGTTCATTGGAAGGGTCATCCATTTGTGCAAAATATAAATGTAAGTAACTCATAAGTGATAGACACATACGGGAGCAGGCGAAGCATGGCGGGACAGACGAGGTAAACGCGAGCACTCACACGTTTTACGGAGCGGTTGATGCGTGGCACTGGCCGGTGGGTTCTTAGTGGAGCGTTGAAGTGGCTGAGTCGGGGGCCGCGATGTTGTTTGCCATCCGTTCCATAGACCCTAGCTCCTGGTTCTCGCCCGCTCCACAGGCTCGTTGCTGTGTAAAAATAGGCGATGGAGAGGCGTCCATCGTCGTCTCGGTCTTCATCGTCCCACTGTCGAACAAGACGGAGAGAGAGAGGGGGAAACGAAGAAAAAGAGTGTATAGACATGTCGAACGAGACCTAATGTAGGAAACAGGCCTGAGCCGCGGAGCGAGAGGATGGTATGGCGATAGCCAGCCTTAGCAAGATGGCTTGCCTGCCTAAACGTATCTAAGCTAGGCCATCCATTCCCCTAATGGCTCCTATCGAGCCCACTTATAAGCTATCATTAGAAACCTGGTGGCAACAGCGACCCGCGCGATAAAATGCGCTACTGACGATGCAGTATCAGCAACGGCCGTTACCTCCGCTGCCGCTACAACTGATATCGGTATCGAGCCTGCTACTGCTGCCGTTGCCGCCAAAAGAGAGCGAACGACGTCAGCCGTAGACGCTTATAGTGGTAATGAGCTTGGTGTGGGTGCTTTACTGTATCAGGAAACAAGCAGGCGGGAGAGCGGGAATGGCCAACTGAAATAGAATAGTGTACAGCGCGTAATACCTGTGTTAATCGGTTATAAAGAGGCAGAACGGCTAAACGATATTAACACCAGTTCATCTCAGTAGACGTGCTCACATATTACTTATCCATAGTTGCTAGCAAATAAGAGAGAACCGGTGGAAGGTCCGTCTGCGGGGGTAACTAGGCGCGAGACGTTTGTGGAATGTTTTTCGTGGCTAATTCGTTGAACCTCTGAACTTTCGGTAATACCTATGAACAACCAGTAGGATATTATGCCGAATATAGAAAGTTGTCACCATCAACAGAAGCATTGTCACCACTTTTTTTTTTACTCTTTTTGACACTAGATTTCTGTGTTCTGCTACGGCCACTATGACTATGGCGGCTTGACCTCTATGTCAAGCTGGGCTCTGCTTGGCCCACTGGCGGTTGCTTTCGTTGTTAATTTTAACGCCTTCGTAGACTGTCATGCGTGCTCCTCTCCCTGTTCGTGCGTATATGGACTGTTGTCTCCCATCATGGGTGTATGTTAGTGTGTGTACACGTGGGATATGCGACAGCCGGGATAGTTTGGTACTTGGCCCATCAGGCTTTGTGCGTGCTGCCTCGCATACCCACTTTCCCCAAGTAATATTCGCAGCGACTCGGTTCCGATCTTGTTTCCACTGAGACGGACGAAATGGGCGTCGGTCAAGAAAAGAGGGATAGGCAAACGAACGCAGGATATAGAGAGCAAGAAGTAAAAAGAAGAAGTGCTGCAGGAAGAAAAGAAAGAGGGACGAAGGGAAGCAGGGCGATGCCAGCGGAGAGGCAATGCCAGCAAACGCACAGCAAGCAGCAGCAGCAGCACGCAAAGGAGAACCGCGGCGGGTCGTCGGCGTGCTTTTACTAGTGCTGTTAAGCAGACCGACGAGCATAGCATTGGTAGCGGACTGGCCGGTCGAGAGGCCGAACTGAGCAGGGCTGGGCTGGGCCGGGCTAGACTGAGTCAAGTTTACTGAATGGAGGGGTGAAGGAGCCGTGGACTCTGGCGGAGGACGAGGCGATGTCTGGGGGGCGACAACGACAGCCACCACCGGCGAAGGCTGGAAACCGGAGCCTGGGCCGCGGTCGTCTCTGTCTGCCCGGCATGCCCTGTCCGGGCAATGGCTAGGTGATGGAGCCGAAGCAGCGCAGCTGGGGCAAACGGGAAGGGAGCAATGATGAAGCCAAATGCGCAGATTAGGAAGACTGCTGCCAGCATCACTTCTATACTGTCATGAGAGTCATGGCACTCCAGATGGAGAAAAGAGCTGGCGAGCGGGAACGCAACGCAGATGAGGACGGAAAGGAAAGCAAGCCGGGGTGATACTTATAGGAGGGAATAAACAGACTATCCCGTTCTTAGGTCCCTGGGTCGGCTAACCCCATGAGGCCTCGAAAAAGGGTCCGTTGGATTTTAATCACGAAACAGCACCATGGCCGATGTCGACTTTTCTGCATGCTTTGGAAGGCCAGACGCAACGGTAGCACCAGCGATTCGTGAGTTGATATGCAGTCTCAGCCAATAACAGGCGGGACAGCGATATGGACGTAAATACCCTATATTTTCCGACAAAATTGAATGCCGTCACTCTTTTCTATACATTAGGGATGCAGCTATTACTGCAGCTTCTACGGATATCTGGTACACAGCTCGGCACACTATATACCTTTGCAAGCTTAGTAGCGCGCATGTTAGTGTTTCTGGATCTACCACCGTCAAGTGATGACACCGATGGCGCTCGATCCTTGTAAGCCACCCGGATATATATATCTGTTTGTGTATTTCAAGGTAGCTCAGCAGGCTTGACGGGGACAAAATTGCAAAGGTCTGAAGAAGCCAGAGTTGCTTTGTGATTGTGAGAGTGCCTCTGTTTGAGCGAGCTATTTAAACCTTGTACATAGAAATGCTCAAAGGTGCAATAGGCGACTTTAAAGGATGGCTGTACGTAGCACAAGGCTACGCCACGAACTAGGCAATGCAAAGGGACAAAGTAAAGGATAGGTCGTTCTGTTTTCACCCGCTATATTTCTCCTCTAAATATGTCTCTGCAGTAATGCTCGGAAGAGGAAAACACACAAATGCTTTTTGTATCTTCGCGGACACGGCTTGTGGGAATAGAAGGATCGCTTATGAACCAAAGCACCGCCATTGCCACAGCTAAAGGTGAAGCCAACGATGAAGCGAGGCATCACCCGAAACGGACGGGAAAAAGAAGATTATGAAACAAACCGAAGTAAAGAGGAACATAAACTTCGGTTCTTTCTTTACACTGACAAATGCACCACAAGACTCGAGAACTCCATGAAGAAAAAGCCAGACGAAGTTAGTCATCGAAAATTAACAGACCAGAAGAACGACATGGGATAATTCCGAAAAAAAATTGCAACTATTATTCGCTAGCTTTCTAAGCCTGCACAAGCTATTTCTGCTCTTGTATGTAAATTTTACTTATTTTCCACGAGGATGGGGTACATGTTCCCTGCGACATGTTTCTTTAGTGTCGATTGGCCTCTGTAGAGTACACGCCCTGACAAATAAGGGTCATGTATCTCGCGCAAAACACCCCCGTATTGCCCGCTGGCTGCGATTGTTTGCCATGGAACTTTACTGTATATCATGGGGTGCACTACAACTTTCCTCGACGTTTCTTTTCAAATGCAGTTTTTTTCAATGTGACAACACAAGGAATTATCCTGTTTGATAGTTCAATTAAGAGTCATCAAAAACTTCTTAGATACACTTGGATTCAAATCTGAACCGCCAGACTTGCAGGCAAGTGTGCTACCACTATGCCATATTAAAAGCTTGCATAACCTACCTTTCTGGTAGCGCCGCAAAACACATTTAGAATCATCTTTATCGGGGTGGGCATTATTTTGATAAAATATTTAAGATATGTCTCAATGGATCAAGAGGAGCCATGTTGTGGTACGGGAAGTGCATCTACCGAAAACAATCGATGACTAACGGGCAAGCTTATTCTTTAGGGGGGTTTCAGGGTACCCATGTCATAACGTAAAGGTTAATGAGAGCATAGCGACCCATGCAAGGTAACTTATAATTAATGCAGGCAGAATAACTTTAAGAACTACCCTAGAAATAATCTAAAAGGTCGATCCAAAAATAGTAGAAGTCGCACATGATCGATTTTTTTTTAAGTTCGCATTCTTATCTGTGTGAAGCTAAAAAACCTAATATTATAT